CCTAGTTGTCCTAGTAAAAAGTAATAATCTAGGAAAAATAAAATTTATCTACTCATGATACATTTATATTATACATATGATATATATGGTTATATACATATAATATATACCTATAGATAAAAAAAAAGAAAAAAAAAAGGTAAGAAGATCGAAATTTTACTAGAACAACTAGGACAACTGGGATGGGTATTCTAAAACTCTTTCGTTCAGCTTGAAATTACCGTCAGGTATATTTTTTTCTGTTCTAGTTTATGTCCTAGAAAAAAATTCGTCCCAGTTAGAACTTCGAAAAATATAGGTATCCTGCACACCACGCATAAGTATATTAATTTTCTTTTACCTCAGTTGATGCAGAGCACCAAATTTCTGATTCCCCGTCTTGCGCCATCTTCTCCAGCTTTTTTCGGTAATAATATTTCATATTCTGGTATTTACCTGCATGTTTCTCGCACATACCATATGTAGAGGAAGTAATTTTATCACACTCTTTACAAGATATACATTGAGGGGACTTCCAATGATAACCACAGCCTTCGGGCCTATAACTACCTCGCCCACAAATTTCTCCAGTTCTGAGAATATATTCACAACGATAAAATATCATATATTCCAAGCGTTATCTTTTTGGTATGATTTTTTGTCTCGTAGTATAACTAGGATTTCACACTAATTATTGTAAGGAATTAATTTTCATTTTGAATTTTTTTCGTACAGATAATATAAATTTACAAAAAGATGTCTGATATTATTACATCTACTATGGATACCCAAAACTTTCAAGAAAATATCAATCACGCGTCAGCAGAATCAGAAGCACCACCTTCTCGATCAGAGAGCCCAGAAAACTCAGAAAATTTTGAGCCAGAGATAGAGGAAGAAAATAGCGGGGCGTTCTACCGTCGGAGGGGGGGACAAAGCTGAGAGTGTAGCTGAATATTTATATAAAATTCATGATGATAGTGTAAGACCAAGACAATTTCTTGGTACAGATTCTGAGGATGGAATAGAGGCAATATTTACAGAATATACAGGTCACTCATTGCATGAATTTATTGACGGAGATGATCCACTTCGTTCCTTTATCGATTTTGATTTATCTAGAGAAAAATTTGATAAAATTAAATCTAAGCTTAAGCTTACAGCTAAAGAAATACGGGATTTACTTTATCGTGCCTTTAAAGAAGTGTGTTTAGAAATATATCCAGTTTGGAATCACAAAATATTGACTATTGCTAGTAGTAGTGATGAGAAAAAAATGTCTCTCCATATATCAACTTTTGGTTTCCGACTCAAAAATATTGCTAAAGTTGCAGTATTTACTGAACTCATTCACAAAAAACTTCCAATAGATTTACAAGAAAAAGATATTGTCGATAACATCACCAACAAAAACTCATTTTCTTTACGAATGCTTAATACTCTGAAGGTAATTGAAATAAAATGTAATGAAAGCGGTAAAAAATCGTATAAGCATATCCGTCCAAAGAGAGCAATATTTTCAAAAGATAGTTCAGTCTTTGATTTTATGCTTCGTCCACTTAACGACGAGACACCAGTTATAGATAGTCCTCTTTTGAATATTCTGAAAGAAAAAACATCAATCAGAGATGGGAAAATGCCAGAAAAAAATAGGGTCAAAGACCCATTACAAGGTAATAAAATCGATGCTGGAACAATTGGATCTGAAGTAGAATATATAGAAAAATTACTTGAGGGGTATAAAATCGAAGGTTTTGAAGTTTTATATTCTTCACCAACACTCCCAAATGTATTTTCCCTAAATCGCATAGCAGAATTTCAATGCTCACTCTGTAATCGGGAGCACACTAGTAATAATGCATATGTAATACAAAATAAGAAAACTTATCAATATTATTGCCATCGAGCGGATCAAGAAACGCAAACAGGTGCAAGAAAATCCTCATTAAAACTTACTTTAAATGTATCGGTCTTGAAACGGGAAAACAGTCTTCCATCCCCAGAAAAAATAGAACGATCCAGAATTTCAGATTCAAATAACCACTTTGTATGAAGTGATTTAATTCGTATGTGCACTTCTAAGAAAAATTTTACTCAGAATGAAGTATATAATGCAATCCAGACTACATTTGCTTGTGTGATAAAAGATAAACGAACATGGATTCTTAAACATAGAAAACTGGATGGTAGATTATACTTTGGTATGGCACCTATTCTAGATTTCGGTAAAATAACTATTAATATAGTAGAACTTGGAGGAGAACCAATAAAATTAATCTCTTTAATAGATTGTATATATGACAGCAAGATAATTATTTATGATGATATCGATTACTTATTATATCCACCTAATATCAAATAACCAAAAAATGAATTCTTCAATCTTTTCTTAGGATTCAAGGCTAAACCAGCATCTCGAATTAATTACGATTTTGTGAATCTGATTATATGGCATACATCAGGAAATTTTTTGGGGTGATATTCATCGAGAATCATCGCTATATCTGTAAAAATCGATAAATATCTCTCTGAAATATCGATATTAATCGATGACTCCAATGATCTTCGATAAACATC